TACATACATACAGAAAAACGCACAACTCATAAGTATACAACTCAGTAAAATATTACAAATTTATTATTCATTGGGTTGTCAAGGAAGACTTGCCTGAGCAGATGCTGCCTGACCTGTACTTTCTCCCCTTTAGTGCTTTGAAAATTTTACTTCATTACCTCTCAGTGTTATGTAAAAGAGTCTGATGTCAATATAATTTTGGTTCCTGATTAGATATATTATATATTCCTTCTGAATATGAGTCTTATATGTTCTTTATTTTTAAAATTAAAAAGTTTGAATATATTTTGGGTATATCCTTTTAAAGTTAATTTTGTCTAAACCTAGTTTTCAGATGTACTTAAATAAAATTCCAACCCAGGAATCATTTTTTCCCATTGAATCTTTCCTTATTGTCTCCTTAATTTATTCAGGTTTCTTTTTCGAAATTTCTGTTTTTCACATAATTTTATCTCTGCTCCTTATCTTTGTTATCTAAGATCAATTTATATGTATGTATATAATTTAAATAATATATGTAATATAAAACATATAATTATATATAATATATAAAATAGATATTATTTAAAAATATATAAAATACATAGTATATTATATAAACTATATAGTATATTATATAAAGTATATATTATATAAATATATAATATGTAATATGTAATATATAATATATATTTTATGAAATATATAAAATATTGTATAAAATATATATTATATAATACAAATATATATGCTAGGATATAAAATGTTATATATTTCATAAAATGTATATTATATATTTTATGAAATATATAACATAAAATGTGTATTATATATTTATAAAATATACAATATAATGTACATTATATAAAATATATTGTATAATATGTAATGTATTATATATAATAACGTGTAATGTATATTCTATATAAAATATAATATATATAATATATATATTTTTAGACAAGGTCTCACTCTGTCACCCAGGCTGTAGTGCAGTGGCACGATCTCAGCTAATTGCAACATCTGCCTCCCAGCTTCAAGAGATTTTGTTCCTCAGCCTCTGTAGTAGTTGGAATTACAGACGTGTGCTACCACACATGAATAATTTCTGTATTTTTAGTAGAGGCACTGTTTTACCATGTTGATTAGGCTGGTCTCAAACTCCTGGCCTCATGTGATCCTCTTGCCTTGGCTTCCCAAAGTGCTGGGATTACAGGTGTGAACCACCACACCCAGCGCCAATTTATATTTATCATTAATTTATTTCTTTGTTGATCTTCATCTGTATTCTGAGATAGCCTGTCAAGGGGCTTCTCCATCAGTGGTTCCCAGAGACCGGTCTATGGATGGCTGCTGGAGAGGATGCATCAAAATCAGCTAGGAAACTTGTTAAGAATAGTTTCCCAAATTTCATCTCCAGAGATATCTTTTTACTTAATCTGATTTTAAAAAATGTGTTGATATTTTCATCAGCTTAATGTTGATGAGAAATGGGAAGACCAAGGCTATTCCAGGTAAGCAGGAAGCATAAGCAAAGTCCCAGATTGTGAGAATCAGTTAGGCATGGCATTAATACTGGTGGCAGGGAGGGAGGATGGTGGGTTGGAATACTGTGAGAGGTGGACTGGGCCAGGTCATAGAGTACCTTCTGCGTCATGCAAGAGAATTGGCACTTTATCTTATAGGTATGGTGGAGGTACTGAGCAGTAATTAGGGGATTCATGTGATGAGATTTACATTTTAGAGAGGACCTCTTGAAACATGGGGAGAGATGGAAGAGTGACAATCGCTGTGTAATTTCAAAACATAGGTGTGTAGCAGTTAGTTGTGAGGTATGTCACATGTGGGTTGCTTTATAGTATGTTAACTGCCAAAGTTTGTAAAGGATCTTTTAAAAAAATTATTGTAGATTCAAGGTTATTTCTACAGTACTGCTACTGTTAATTGCACCCTGGACCTTTTTCCACTACAAAGTGGTCATGTAACAGCTCAGCTCTTTGGAATTACTGTGGGAAAATGTCATGCCTGAGCCTTCATTCATCATATGTGTGATGGCAGAAGTAATACTATGTGTTACTTATGAAGTCCCATTTCATTTTCTTTTCCGTGGACACACAGAAATATTTCATTTTCCAGTCTCCACTGGGTTTAATTTAGGCCTATGTGACTGAGTTCTGGTCAATAAGATTGGCCCTTAAACACTGCATGTATAGTTTTTGGTCTTCTCTTTTCTTTCACTGGCAACATGTCCAACAGAAATACAATGCTAGCCACATTTTAACTGTATATTTATTGTAAAGACATTAAAAAAAGTAAAAAGAAATAGGTGAATTTGTAATAAATTTGATATGTTTAACCAAACACATTTTAACATTTATCAATATAAAAATTAATAAAAGATATTTTACATTAAAAAAACCTATTTGAAATCTAGTATGTATTTTACACATAACACAACTCAGCTGGTACTAGCCACCTTCCGCATGCGCAATAGCTACAAATGCCTAGTGCCTCCAGTATTAGAAATTGCGTTGCTAGATGGTGCTGTAGAAGTCAGAGCCTCTGTGTCAGTCTGGGCCTCTCAGTGACCAAGTAGAGCAAAGCTCTCTGATGATCCCTGTTGGGATTGTAACATGCACAAGAAACAAACCTTTGTTTTTTTTGGACTTTGTCTGTTGCAGAAGGTATTAATTACTTACTCTGACTAGACCCCCCTACAATTTGAGAGATGCTGAATTATTAAATATAAGAATCAAGGCAGAGAAGCCAGTTAGTGTCATAATATAATGCAACTGCAATAGCAATCTTGGAGTTAGCGAGGAAGGGGAGGACACATGAGACATTGATGAAGAGTTGGTCATTGATTGGATGAGGGTAATAAGGGATGATGCTATTCCAGTAGATGATGAGTAGATGATGCCATTCCAGTAGATATAAAAGCAGAAGGAGAAGCCAGTATGGGAGTAAAGCTAGTGAGTTTAGTTGTGTCTCTGTTGATTTGGTGGTGTCTATGGACTATTGGTTCAAGGTTCAGCTGAGTATTGACTGCTACCTGCCATGTCAGGTACTGATGTTTCTGCTCTTGAGGGACCATAAACTGGCTAAATAGGTAAAGCTGATATAGTTTGTATGGTCAGTGATAAAGGATATGCACAATGCTTTTGGAGGCCATAAGAAAGAGAGGGACTAATCTAGTATAACAGGCAGTGATGGGTCCAGGAGTCTCCTTAGAGATGAGACTTAAGTAGAGTTTTAAAGTGTGAGTGGAACAATAGGGGTGGGGGAGAGTGGGGAAGGCAGCATGTGACCAGAGGGACAGTAAAGAGAAAGTGGCAAGGGCACTCACAGCAGAAGGACTGCAGAAGGGACAGGCATTGAGGCCAAGAATAGCGTGGTGGTCACCACAAGAAGTTCACCATGACTAGAGGGTCAAACATCAGGGAGGAAGCACCCTGTGAGAGAGCGGGAGAGGGAGCAGGGTCAGATTGCTGGGGGGCGCTTTTTGTTATATTTGAATTTGTGTCATAGGTACAGGTTGGAGGATGGATTGAGAGATGGGAACAAGGGCTGCAAAAACAGGTGGAAGGTTGTAGCAATCATGGGGGAGAGAAATGAAAATAGACGCAGTCCTTAACCTGGGTAGTATGGTATTGGTGGGGAGAAGGGGGTTCACTGGAGAATTTTTGGAAGTGCATATACAGTATTTGGTGATGTGTGGATATTAGGAATAAGGGAGAGGAAGAGGAAAAAAGATTCAGGGAAGCCACATAGATTTCTAGCTTGGATGACTAGGTAGATGGTAGTGCTAGCTGGGGAAAATGAAGAGAGAATAAAAGCAAAGCGTATCAGGGGAGGGGTACATGGAAAGCAACTGCCTCTTCCCACCCCAGTGCCCCCCACCCCAAATATAGTAGGAAATAATGGTTTATTATTAGGTCTATGTATTAGTGGGAAATATATGTCTAGTGGGAAATAGACATATACATATTTTTGCAACCCCCTCTCCCAACAGAAACAAAAATAGTTTTTTCTTTTCATCACCACCATTGAGGGAAAGCTTGAAAACAAGGAGCAGGTTTTCAGCGAGAAGCTTGAAAGCGTAAAGGCTGTGAGGAACTATCCCTGGCAGCTGCCTGGGGATTTCCTGTAGGAAGATGGTGACAGGGATGGTCACAGGAATCCAGAAGTGAGCAAAAAATGACACTGAGAGGAGGTGGCTGGAGAAGCTAACCCCTGGATTTCAAACCGAGAAAGAGGCGGAGAAAAGCCGTGGGCCTCTGGATGGGCTGGAGCATGCTGGATGGAGGAGGACGGAGTGAAAAGGGAGATGTTTCAAGAAGCAGGGAGGCTGTGGAGCGGCCTGAGAATTTCCAGAGGCCTTCAGAAGTAGGGCAAGATAGCACGCTGGGTGATGGGGGCGAAAATGGTTACGACGTGAAACTTGAAACTACTCTGGAATTGAATGTGATTGAGTTTTTATTTTACTTGGGCTGAACTTTTCTCATACTTAAAGTTCATTCTGTCCCATCAGCTCCTTTCTGGGTTGTGGGGTGCTTGATTAGACAGAAGCCAGGCCCTGGGAGTGTGGCTTGAGAAAGTGAAAAATATTTTTCTGTTGATCACTGAGGGGCCTTAATCTCCAAAGTAAGCCTGAGTGCAGGGAGACAGACTGGACGTTGTAGTCTGAAAACAATGTGTTTTCCCAGAACTTCTTGTATTTTGGGGAGAGTTTCATTTTCCTCATATGATATTGGTAATGACATGCCATTCCTCAGGGCCATTATTTTATTTAATTAATTCCTTTCAAAATGCTCCTGTCTAAAGCGTTGGCTAATGGTATGAAAGCCTTGGTCATCAGTCTTTAAGGCCTGTGAAATCGAGAACTTGGAATTGGGTCGTTCCAGGTCATTGTTACTCAAAGGCATGCTTTGTTTTGCTTAGAGGAGAATTTGTGTAACTCTTCCCAATAGAGAAGAGCTGAGTTTGCTAAAATACATTTAATGAGAATGAATAAAGAAACATTTTCTTACCAAACTTTATTATCACAGAGGGATTTTATTATAAGGGTTTAACAGAACAGAGAGTTAGACTTGCTGTATCACTTGTAAAACCTCAACAAGTTTCAAAATTTAAATTAATAAATATGAAAGTAGGTTTAGTCTTTCTTTTCAGCCATGTTTTAACTTTTAAAAGACAAAGAGGAGGAAATGCTATATCTGTATGTTGTAAAGACTCAGAAATTTTCCACTACTATTTAATTCTATCTAGCATTTCCCTAGGCAGAACTGATAATCACACTTTTTCACCTTTTTTCTAAATAATTAAACATAAATAGGTCCTTAAATAGCTCAAATAAATAAAGGTTTTACCTTTTAAATAATAAAATTCCCAAGCCCGAAGTCTTGTTTCTTTAAAAAGACATACAAAATAAAGTAGATAATCCATTAAAATGGAATCTTATATCCCAAATTTATCTCAGGGCATATTAAATACATAAATAACTTAAAGCCTTTAGAAAAGTATACAAAAAGCAAACTAGTACTTAGTCTAAACCTTCCTTCTTGAAAAGAGGGAAAGATAATTCAGATCTCATCTCTTAGCCAAGTGTTACCTCTGAAGGCTCAATTGGATGAACTGCTGTAAGTAATCAGTTTAGTCAGAAATGGGGCTATGTCTTTGAAGGATGAGGGTTCCTGAGGGGCCAGGCCAGCTCTCCAGAAAGCCTAACTGCTTTGGGGAGTGTGGGATTTGAACCAAAGCTCTTAGGCCACATGGCGGACAATGGGGGTGACGCAGGTGCAGCCCACGGACACCAGCATCTTCTCCAGCCGGAAGGAGTTGGTGCAGTGCCGAGGCTCCCTGCGCAGGACCAGGATCTCTTGCTGGATGGGGACGGAGTTCATGTGGTAGTCCACGTTCCCATCAGCATTGACGCAGCCCAAGTGGCGGCACTTCGCCTCCCAGATCACAGAGGGATATCTCTCAGGGTCCTCATTGCGGCTGCAGAGGGGAGAAAAATCAGGAGGAAGGTGAATTTCTGGTAAAGTGGGAAAGAAATAAAACAGGAATACATGAAGAGAGGCAAGTTCACGGGGTGACAAATTATAGACATTGCAAATTCTTTAAGTGATGTTAATTTGAAGAAGAACTATGGGGACAATTTTGGATTTTTTCAAGCACATGAATTGTTACAGAAAAGAAGACAATGATCAGTTTTCCCCCAATTTATTTGAAGAATGAATAAAAGAAGGTAGACTGAGACCACAGAAAGAATTTAAGTTTGACACAAATGATAATTTTTTAGGGCATATTTGACAGACAGAAGAAGACCAAAGGAAGAGTAGACTTGGAATCATCTAGAATAAGATAACTGTTTATCTGACTTGATGTTAAGTGTCTTTATAACCTTCTCTTCCCTCTCTCTTTTAGCTGAGTGAATGATTTGCTTTGACTTTTGAATTGATTTATTTTGATTCTTCTTAGTAATGGGAAGAGGAGAAGCAATCCTACAATCAGACCAATCTATAGGCTCCACAGAACTGAGACTTATTTGTATAAAGTCAAATGATCAAAATACATTTTGTATCTAAGCCTTGATGGGGTCTAAATACTGTGTATACTAGGGACACAGCAAGCATAGGTGTGTTAGGGAGCAGATCAAGACTATGTAACACACAAAGGAGTAGAAATACCCCAGTGACACTTATTCCACTGGGATTCAAAAACAAAAATATGCAAAAAAGAAAAAGTAAAACACCCAAATTACTAATTATTTGCAATAAATCTTTTCAATGGTGGTGCTGGTTAAGAGAATAAAAACATTAATCCCCTTTGATAAATGTCTATTTTTTGAATAAATAAACAATAGACGGGGTCTCACAAATATTAGAATAATTAATTTAGGTTGGTTATTGGTGTCAGTGACAATTAGCTCTAACAGGATAGAGATTATTGGAGGCTGTCCTGTGCTTTGTGAAAGAAATATGTAGAAAGTTTTAGAATCACTCCTCTGCACAGTGGTCCTTCCAGGTTTGACTGGTAATTCTAAATGAATAAAACCATTCTTAAGGAGATTTAACCAGCAGTCTGATGCATAAGAAGGATGAAGAATATAGCATTTTAATCTGGAACCCTTACGTACTGGAGATTCCAAGGTGAGGAGGATCGGTTGTAGTAATCTGAGGGCCTTTTGGAATTGGTATTCCGGTTACGGATGTTCAGGTTGACCATCACAGTCCGGGGAAAGTTCTTGTCCTCAGCATTTGGGCATCCTGGGTTTTGTGGGCTTGTTATTCCTGCCTTCACTGTCGCCTCCAGGCTCAGCAGCAGCAGCAGTGACTAGAATTGAATGGGAAAGGAGGGAGAAGTTGGAGATTGGATTACTATGTGGTTCTTTTTGACACATTTAATTGTGATGAGGATGCATTGCTAATGATAGAGAACATACCAGGACAATCTATACTACATTTTCAGATCAGTTAAAAATCTAGGTAGATGACCAGCATAATGTTAACACCATGGCTTTTAAATTTTCTAAAAAACCAGTTTCAACATTCTTCTTTTGGCTTAGAAAAGGTTATCCATTGGCTGGCAATAATTTTAGTAAAAATGTCAAGTCATGCCATGTCCTCAGCCTATCAGCACATGCATCATTGTCAGGTCTGTGAAAGAATAATGACTTTGATTTTTGAGGTAGGAGTGATCTCCTGCATCATTGTTCTCAGTCCCACATTCTGTGAAACTCAATGTGCAGCCAAACATTCACATTGAAAGAAAGAGCTGTAGAAAATCTATGTGGTATCAATAGTCATGCTACAAATGCTGTTGGTGCTGCTGGCAGACATCCAACTAAAAACTCGATCTCCTTCATGTTTTCTTAGGTATACTTTCCAGTTGGTCTAAATTTAACATGTATCGAGTCTATAATCAGATTTCAAAAAAGATACTTGAAGTTAAATATGAAAAAAAATATAAACCCATTTATTCTAAAACACAGTTACACATATATCTAGTTAGAATACATAGTTTCGATGTATCGAGAATACGGTATGAGACAATGGAACCAAAGTCGCTGCTACGGCTTTCGAAATCTTAAGGATAGTGACCCATTTTAAAGAAAAAGGATTAAAGAAAAATGCCGTGGGACAATTATACTAAATCCTTTGTACTCAGGAAAACAGACTTTCAATAAATTTTCTTTCTTACTGCACAGCACCATGTGACACTTCTTGTGTGGTTTAGCCCCAATATAGCTATCTTTCAGTTTTAATCTTATCTTTCAAACTGCTGTATATCAGTTCTTGAAAATGCTACACAATGGCGTAAATATCTACCAAAGCTTTCATTTCCTATCCTACATATACAGTATTCCTGGATCTCCATAGTCAGAACCCAGCATTTCATGCCTAAGGTCTGGAAATATTATCTGGTCCAAATCAACAAGAGCATTGCACGTTAGTGCAGGACTCACCACCAATGAGGTCTTCCCAGGAGTCATCGTTGCTTCTCCCAATCACCTGGGGACGGATGAGTTTGTGCCTGCTATGAGATGGACAGAATGTAGCACTATCACCTCTCTTTTTATAGAGCTTTTTGCCTTCTGTGGTCACTTACGTGATGTGTCGCAGTGGGTTCAGGGGTGACACCATTTTGGTTAAAATTTCCGCCCCAAATGAGGTCATAGAACCTCTTCTTCTGAAGGAAAATGGAAGGTAGAAACTCATGTTCCTAAAGACCATGTCCTCTCTTCATTCTTACTTGTTAGAAGCTGAGCAAAGGGGATATGCTCTGGGTCTGTATCATGTATTTATGAACATATATACAGCTGCCAGAGGAGCTATGCTCTATTTTAATGGTTCATGGGGAAATAAAAGTTTGACATAACATGTAGGTTTTCTGGTGTCATGCACCTTGATTTTCCATTTGATCTTTCTTTTCCTCACAGATTCCTTGGCCAGATGTTGTAGAGACAATCCCAGAAACTACTCAAGTTCCCATCATATAAAAAAAAAGAATAAATAATAATGACACGATATATCCTATTTAATTGAGTTCAACAACTCTCTTGTTGAGTATCTACCCTGCTCAAGGAATAAATAACCAGGTTCAAGAGACACGAGATTCACTGTTAAAAGCATGTTCTAACTCTGCATGCTACTAAGCAACTTGGTATTTTGAGGCTCCATCTCATGCAGTTCTTCCGAAGGAATAAGATGGAGAGGAGAGAGTGGGGGAGGTGGCAGGGCAAAGTGAGGAGAGAATTGACAATGGGGGTGGAGGCCGCACATAGGTGATGAAGATAGAGAAAAGGAGGGCAGTGGTGAGTAGAGAGTGATGAGAACTAGAAGAGAGGGGAGACATGAGGAGGGATAACAAGGAAAGAGAGAAGGAGTTAGCTATTCTTTTCTCTCTAAATAAGATGAACTTGGACTCAGGTCCTTGAGAATAGTTGCTTCTTAGGAATACAGAGGACTAGCACAAGGAAGGGCCAGCGGATGTAGATGTGGCTGGCTAGATGTCACCCTGCTCTGCCCCTACGCCCATTGAGGTGAATGATGCCTCTCAGATACTCAGGTGATATCCCATATTCTACATGCTAACTCAGGGAGGCTGGCCAGTGGTTCCAACTCAATGGCTGGAGTGTAAAATAAGTTTGCTGGATCCTGGACCTGTTTGTCCTGAGATCCATTCCTCCCTGCCCTGCTCTACCTGTAACTCAGAAGGCTGACCCTGGAGGCTACTTACTCAAACTCCCCTGTCAGTTGGATTTCAGTTGGGCTCAGCCAAAGGGGAACTGAGGGACAGGTGAGTAAAACTGGAAAGTGGGAAGAAGGCAGGAGCTTCGTTCCTCAGTCTGCCGGAGGACTACTCCACTCCCTTTGTCCCTGCAGCCTTGGGATGGTAACAGCCTCTTGCTGATGGCAATCTCAACTACCAGTGTGACCAGTTCTCTGACTCAAACTCCCTCTTTCGCAAATGCCTCAAGGGGCTTCTGTTTCATGGCCAGATAAACCCTGACTGATGAATGAGGGAGACCATAAGCACTTGAATTTCAGTGGTAATGGTAGATATCCTTGATAGGTGAAGCAGATACAGATGGAAGAGGAAGTAGGATACAGCTTCAAGTGACTTCTTTGGTCCTGATGTTGGCATCACTGTCTACCTACTTCTCAAGACAATAGTCACTGTGAGCCCTCCTGCCCCTCCTCTAGACATGACCAGGCAGCAATCTCAGAAGCTGCAGTGTCTCTCACATCATATTATTACAGGTCTAACTCAGACTCTCACCCACTTGGACGAGCTATGCCTGCTTTTCCCAATTGCTTCCCTCAGACCATCTTTGACATTCTCGCAATAATGATTCTCAATGCATGGCTCTCATTGTGGCTTTTCTTCTGCCATTAGCTTGCATACAGAATAAAGTGTAAAAGACTCTTAGCATTTGGATTATTTGAGTTTGTATAACTTCCTTTCTAGCCTTACCTCCCACCATGCCCCAGGACTTGGGCTGATGGGATCCTGATTTTTCTCCAGGCCTTCTTTCAAAGCTTACCCACCCTTTTCAAGGTATTTTCTCTGAAATGCCCTTCCCCATCCTCAGGTTACCAAAATGCTACTTGTCCTTCAAAATCCTGTTTAAATGTGTCTTCTAGGTCTGGAGATTTTTCTTGATTACCTCAGTTGGAATAAATAGTTTCATCCATCACATACCTCTCTAGTGACTTTTGTTTCATTTTGTAGTGTGTTTTATTTAGCTTTAAAAGCTATGGGTAAGACATGTGTTTATTTCCATGTTTAGATTTTACTGTCAACCTTCAAGGCCAGTGTGTTCTTCATCTTTGTGACTCCTGTGGTGCCTAATGTGGCCCTTTATACAACATGGGTCTTCACAGACCACTTTTGTGTTGCTTGTCCCTCTCTGTTACAGGGCTGTTCATGCATATTTCTTGTGTATCGCATGCATTTCATTTACATATTGAGTTTCTTGTTTTCATTGTAGGTCATGTCTTGCTAGACTGCAAGCTATCTGAAGACAAATAGTCTTACTGGTCTTTGTATCACTTAGCATAGCGTCTAGTAAATAGTAACTGTTCAACATTTTGATTAATCGACAGTATGAATAATGCTATTTGAGAAGTTCAGAATTTTCTATGTTATCCTTAGAACCCACCTGCATCCCAAAAGCCTACTGAGTTGTCTAGTGCCTTGGCTCTGCATTCTGATCCTTTTGAATGTAGTGTGGTGAAGCTATAGCCTATTCTGGATCACCCTGGAGTGGAGGATTCCTTGTTGTTGCTTTCTGGCAAAAATGAAGGAGAGGAGAATGTGCTTGCTGTCAATTATTTTGACTGAAGTTGAAGGGGGAGAAGCTAACTCTAGCTGTTTTCCTTAGTCTTGCCTCTAGTGCCTATGTAATTCAGCCTGTGTGCTATGCTTTGAAATGCCAGCCCTTGCTTTAAAATAAGAATGGGAAAACAAGATGGATTTTCACAAAAGTGTAAAAATAATCATTTTGACATGGCGGTTGGAGTGGAGTGTGTCTGGCCTTGAGTATGGCTGATTTCCCAGATGTTTGCTTGAGCTGGAAGCTTGTGGCTCCTGGAAGAGCAGCTGGGAGTGTAAGAGTGTGTGCACAGTGGGGAGGGCTCTTCCTCTGCATTTGTCTGCAGAGGTAGCTGGCTCAGGTTTTGATCCGAGACTCTTGAGGTAGAGTGCAGGCTGGACCGGGCATTAGAGTGCCTAGAACACTGAATGAGAGGACACCTTTGTTTTCATTGTGAATCTTCCACTAACTACCCATGCCCTTAGGTACATCACCTCTTTGAGACTTAGTTTCCTGTCTTATAAAATGAGTTTTTGCACCAGCTAATCTTTCGATCATCTATGATTTTCTGGAAAGAATATAGTATAGAACAAATGGGAGTAGTAAATTAGGGGTGATTATTTTGTTAGTGATCATCTTCCAGGTTTATCAATCTTGCATCTCTGAGGTCTTGAAACAGATCACCACAAGCAATGGGGAACTGCATGTGGTGAGTTTAGAGCTTCAATGGCTGGGAGCAAGCATGCAATTGGAGACAGAGAAAGATTCTCAGCAGCCAAACATGCATTTGAAGGGATAATAGTGGTGAAACGTTTCTGCCCTTCTTGATTTAGAGAAATGATTTTCAAGGCTCCTTGAAATTATTAGGCCATTAAACAGTATTTCTTTCTACTTGCAATAGAGAATAATGTAAGCATGGAAAGAAAAAATTTTCCTTTTGTATCCTGGAGAGAGTATTTTTGAGTCTTTTGTCTCAATGTGATGGAAAATTAAGGCTTGCCGAAAGATAAAATAAATAAACTAATTTTAATTTTGGCTTAAATGGTAAGGTTATCATTGAGAGATTATTATATTTTAAATTTCTATTAGCCATTTAATTAAAAAGTAACAATGGTCTCAGTATAGGAGGAGGCATCATGCCATTGTTTCTGCTTAAAGTTAATGAAAGACAGTAGCTGTTCAGGAAGATTGGAGCCATTTTGTTTAATGCTGTGCATATCACCAGGCAAGACTCCTCTCTTGATCTCTACTTAATATAGAGAGGGTAATGAGTCACTGGAGAGAATTCTCTTGGATTTTAAATGTAGGGGCTGATACTTTGCAAATGGGCCAGCACACAAGGGGCAATGTCAAACAGACACGTAAAAGGAAGACATGATGTTTAGAGAGGAGAAGATTTGCAACAGAGAGCCATCTGGAAGACCTTGGGGAGTTAATAAGGTCAGAATTTAATTGAGACTCAAATTTAGACCTGGTTTATCAAGCTCTAGATCATCTACCCCAAACAGTATTGATAGTATATCAATACTATTACATAGTATATAATATATACTATGTAATATATAATATATACTATGTAATAGTATATTATCAATACTGTACTATATATATATAATATACTATGTAATAGTGTATTATCAGTGTTGTCGTGCAAAAACCAGAACTTAATACATATATAATTAATGTGGTTTCTTAAATAGGAAGTATCAATCCTGGTACCAGCCTGATAGCATCATTGTTCCTCTCCAGTATAACCCTGTTTGTATTCACATGGTTGTGCTCCTGAGGGCCATCCTGAACAGTAGGTGATGGATGAGAACGGGTGAGTACAGGCTTCATCCTGTACTGGAATCCCTGCTGGAGAAAATTCTCTTTTTATATGACACGATGAATTAAAGGCATGATTATCAATGAGGATGTTTTTATAGAGTAATTGTTAATGGGCTGGTGAGTGCTGAGAGATGGCAGGCAGAACCATTTTTCAACATTTGGGTCTTGTTTCTTCACCACTGGTCATTCTAACTCTTGGTAGGTATTTTGCCCAGATGAGGACCATGTGTGCAGCTCCTTTGAGTGACTAGTTTTCTTTTTTCTACTGTTGGTTTTTGGTGTTTCCTCTATCTAGTGCATACCAGGCTGTTTTTATCTGATGGAACCAGATCACAAAACTTTGGATATCTGTGAAAAACAAACCCAATCTGAATGGTCAAAAGAACATTGAACAGTCATTA